CCCGTGTCAGTGGCCATTAGATCAGGTCATTTTTGCCAACGTTACACAAGTTGATTGATTCAGTCGGCATACACGGAAAAAATAGATTTGTTACTTCAGAGAAATTTATTTATTACAATTTATTTCGTCATTTCGATTAAATATCATTCATTCCAAACGACATGTGTATTGTATCGATTGGATGATAATTTTGCGGGGACAAAATGAAATTCTCATTTCAATTTCTCTAATATTTCAATTCAAGAGTTCTTTTACTCAGTCAAATGAATAGTGTATCGTTTCAAGAATAACATTCATTGAGTTCTCAAAATAATTTGGTTGAGTCAAACAATATAATTTCATCAAATCAAAAGTACGTCTGTTGAATGAAAACTTTCCAATTCAGTTTAGCAGTACGGGGTGCTGTTTTGACACAAATATATAATTGAATCTGCTGAATATTTATTTTCACTTTAACAATACATATCAATACATTTATTTAATTTTGGAAATAATTTCAAGCCTATGGATGATTTAATTTCAATATTTTTATTATTTGTTGGTTTGAAAAATTGAATAATCTCTTCGAAAGAAATGGTATAGCTGAAATACTTCTAAGGAATAGCGTGCCGGTCGGCACCATTTGCGTTTGCGCAAGAACCGTAAACTAATCACGAATGGAATAAGAATTAAAAATGTGTTTTGCAAGGAAATGATGAAGAGGTTTACAGTTTTTTTTTAATTACGTGGATTGAAGTTTTTCAGTGTTTTCACGGGTATGTTGATATTTATATAATTTCTTTCATTCCATATTTTGAAATAATTATGAATAGCATGCATTGGATAAATGGACATTGTTTTTTTCAAGCACGTGCCCATACATTTTTCTCGACAGCTATCCCCTATAAAAGTAGCTCGAAGTTCTTATCGTTTAATGTAATGACTGAACAAAAGCTTCGATGTTTTCAAGTCTGATTTTCTTTTAAAGAACATTGTGAAATAATTACATATTTCTCTTGTTTTACTTTATTAAAATCAGTAAAACCGAAAAAGGAAAGTTATTTGTAACATATTTACAAAAATGATGACATGCAACAAAACTGCACGAACTCAAAACATGCAATATAATCTCTTTTATTTTTAGACATGGAGGAATTTCTTAATAACTTGGGATTGAATGACCTGATTGGCATTTTTAAAGGTAAAAAAATACATATATTATTTATCTCCCACTAATATACTTAAAACACATATTTTTCAAATAGAAAACGATGTAACCTTAGACATAGCTTAAAGGCTCGCTGATGAAGAAATCAAAGAAATGATTCCCTCAATTGGCAAAAGAAAAATATTCAATCAAGGAAGAAATTGATGGAATAAATTAAGAATCATATATAACAGAGGTATGTCTTTAATTCATAACTTTCATTATGAATATGTGTACCATTACAATTAAAAACATATTCAGTTTTCTCAAATAACTATATATTTTTGCGATTTTCTGTAGATACTTATCATTATTCAGGTCTGTACCTAAGTAATTGAATGATAGAATTCTCAAATTCAGTAGATTTGAAGGCCTGAAGGTTATGGTTGGCGAGCTTGGTAAATTTTGTAATAACATATTTCTAATCAAATTTTTCTGTGATGAAGTACGTCATTGATTTTTTCCTATTATAAAAAAATGAAATTTATATTCTGCTCATTCTCATGTTGAAAAATTTTCCATGGCATTTACATAATCAGTATTGAATATGAAATACTATCCGCAAGACTCCCATCAGCAGCTGATTGAAAAATCGTAATACATAAGTATATCAATAATCCAGTTGAGAAAATGATACAAATTGTATTTCATGTATTAAGAAATTGGGTTGTTGAACAAACTATAATATATTCTCACAATTATTCAATAACTTGACCTAATTCGATTGGAGATTCATGCACATTCAATCACTGACTCTCTGTATTTCTGATTCTGCCGAAAAGTACTTTTCTCAATACTAAAACTACGTAATGCTTTTTATCTACAAACTTCATGTACTAATCGAATCAGCAGCAGCAGGAGATGACAACAATCGATGGTCTAATGATTTTTTAATTGGAAAATATTTGATGGTAAAAAGCATATTGAAGTTTTAGAGAAGAGAAAAGTAATTTTCAGTAGATCCGATCTGAAGTTCCATTACTACCAACGAGATGCTGGTACTCATATTAGTGTAATATTCAGTTGATTGAATCCAATAACCAAATTCAAACAAGAGGGAAGTATTTTCATTTGTAACTTCATTTCATTTGGTTTATCATTATTCATACTTATTTTGAACTTTAGAAATGCTTTACTTTATCAGCAAGATATTCACAATAAGGTATAAACATTGTTCGTTCAACTACTATCAATTATTTCCCATTATCAAAACAAACAAAATTCTTCATCATCCTGCAGATATGTTGTTTCTTCAACATAAATTTTACTCAAATAAAAAATACATTTGATTGTTTCAATCAGTTCCACTATTTCACCCATCTATAAATTTTGTTTGTTCAATAGAATATTCGAATTACTCCAAATCATTCTCGCTATCGTTTAGACAAAATATTACTTGAATTCAATTCTTCTTTAAATTGAAATAACTGATCGATGTGATTGTTTCAATCAAATATTTGTTTGATACAATGAACATATCCTTACAGAAATGATTGGGAATCAAGAATTTTTTTTGCATCAGCAAAATATTTTGTCGTGCATATATGACACTTTTATTTCTTTGAATGAAGTGAATTTTCTTTCGTTCAACAAATCTTTTTTTCCGTGTAGAAATTGTTTGATCGGGATTCGATGAAGTTGACGAAGGCCGTTTTCGCGTGATCCTGATCGACAAAGGTTCTACCGGCAAGAAAGTCACTGAAATGCTTGAAGAGATGATTGTCGGTTGGTGAGAAGATTGAGGAGTATGTTGAGTGTGACAGAACTTCGACGCTCAGACCAGTACCGGCTGCTGCTGAAGCAATTTTTCGTGTTACGTTCCGTCGATTTCCTGCTAAGATGGTTTGGTCTGATTGCAAGAAGTTATAGTGTACCTCACCAGCCGCTGACCATCATACAGTAACCTTCGTCTTTTTTTAGAAGCGCCTGGATGGCTCATCGGTGCCTAACCACTGCCCTGAATGTCTCTAGTTGTCATAGAGGATATACTTTTCATTATACGTAACGATACAATCCGAAACATGATCCTCTTGGTTGCGCAAAAGCAGAGAGGAACAGATCTCAAAACGTGATAATTTCTGTCGATTGTACAAATCGTAGTGCACCCACTTTTCGAGCTTTTTGATCTTTCCAAGATGCTTTGAATCATCAAAAACTGCATGGGAGCTGACGCCCAGTTCTTCCACCAATCACGCATCGTTTGTGATGAGTCAGTACCCACCAGAGTCCTCAAATCCTCGTCCTAGATTACTGTAGGTCGACTATTTCAGAGCTCATTTTTCAGGCTGGAATCTCCATAACAGACTATCGCAGACTAACGACAAACAGTGCCTTCAATAACCATCGGGCAGTTTCAGCAGCGCTTTGGTTCAAATTCAATTCATAGAAAATCCGAAATTAGATAAAAAATTTTAACCAGGAAAAGAATGAAGAGCATTGATGCATAGAGTTTGGAATCATCTATCGATCAGTATATACAACGACAGTAATGAACAAATCATCATCAACTTCTTAAATGAAGCAGAACTTTCAGATTCTTCATCCAAATCGAACGCGGTTTTGTATGAACATTCAGAGGTAATCAATCACTCGAACAGTAACAGATTCGAGAAATTTTATAATTTTGATATCAATCCAGCCTTATTTTGCTTACGAAGGGTCAGCAAAAACCATTTTGACCACTTCCAGGTTCATTCTTCACCGGTGCCTGCACCGGAGATTTCTCCAGAAGGAAATACAATCCAGAGAAAACATTCAACAACATTATCTGAAATTCTTTTAATGGTATACACTTCCCTTATCTGTTGGATGAACACTATGAACAGTGATGTGAAGAATTATCAACGTTTTTGAATGAAGACAAAATCTTAGTGGAAATCTTGTTTGAAAATTCGGAGGAGATTATCATTTTGAAAAAATTTTTTGCAAAGTCTTCATCATTCTTCATCAGTCTTCATCATTCTGCTCGGCTCACAAAACGTCAGCAAAGATCGTTTTTTCAGACTGAAATACAATCAGAACCATTTATTCTTATGATTCAAAATATATTCAGTGTTATCTACTCCATATATTCATTAAATAGACAGTGATGGAGAAATGATCAACTTTTTTCGTTAGAAAATAAACCTCATGAGTAGTTTTGTAGGCAAATATTCGGGTTTTCACCAGTTCAGTTCAGTTGCGATAATTTGAGAGTCTAAACTTTCTTCAACACAGCTTCATTTTGCTCGTCACATAAATTGTCGGCGAAACCATTTCAATCGCTTCAAGTTCGCTGATTTTACTCCAATCAAATATTGTTTCATTCTCAAATGTGTCTATACCAGAAATTTCACCAAACTGAAATACCATTCATAGAGAAATATTCAATGAAATAGCTGAAAACGTATTCAATATTATCGTTCTGTTAAAATTGATATATTAAAACAGCATTACCACAAAGTTTCTTCGCAAATTAACAAATCGAACCGTAGTTCGCAAATGTGCCAAATGTGCGCCCTTGTGTCGCCACATGCGCAGGACCGTGTCAAAGGGACCTCATCGTCAGTCGGTTTTCAGGAGTTAGTGCGTGACGTGCTACGGAATTTCCACGCTTTCCACGGCATCGGAAACCCAACTCGCGCTGAGAATTATCCGCTTACGTCCGATCTGACTGAATAGCCAGGAAAGTGCGCGGAAGTTAGTGTTTCGTCAACGACCATTGATCACTAGAGGTCTAGTTACAAGTGCTACATGGAAAAAATCAGTATTTATTTGTTCCTATGCGATTTTTTCAACGAACCACTATGGTGAAGACTTAACCAAACCACCGGTCATGGCCAGCGTGCTCCAGAAACTCCTAACCTTACATTTCGTCATTGTTTCAGTTTCTCATCTGTCGCGGAGTGATCCAGCGTCCGATTCTCGGCCTCCTCTGACCTCTCGCACTGTGAGGACGAAATACGGTGACGTCAGTGGTGTTATAATGACCTTGGAATCGAAGCACCTCGAGCCGGTCGAGGTGTTCCGCGGGATCCCGTACGCCAGCCCTCCGCTGGGTAGTTTGCGATTTATGCCGCCCGTAACGGGCGCCCTTTGGCAGGGGGTTAAGATCGCCGATAAATTCAGTCCGGTGTGCCCTCAGAGACTGCCGGATATTGTGAACGAGACTGCGGCTTTGAGGCGAATGCCAAAGGGTCGATTGGAATACTTGAAGAGGTTGTTGCCTCATTTGAAGGAGCAGAGTGAGGATTGCTTGTACCTGAATATTTATGCTCCAGCACAAGGTGAGGATTTTATCGGGATTTGAGTAGGGCGTTTCTGAGATTGTTATTGGTTAGTATTGCTTGTTGAAGCTCATCAGAATTCAGTGGTTTCGATGGAATTTCTCTATTTATTGAATGAAATAACAGTAGTATGTTTGGTAAAGGGGTGAAGAAGAGAAGAAACAGATCAAGAATGAAGGAGTTTTGTGATATTGGATAAAACTTTGGATATGCTTTACCCTCCGATAAAAAAAATACAGTCACATACTTTGAGGTCTAGATTACAAATAAATTATCTCTCACTCATGTCCAGAGTAATGGCCCTCAGAAGTTCCGAAAGTTGCAACTTTTCATTCACTTTCCTACATAATGAAAAATTAAAAAAAAATGCAAATAACTACTTGTTCACCATATTGCGTTCACACCTTATTTCACCTTTTTTTAAGTGTCACCAGTATGTAATTTCAAAATGGAGGGATATCACCAGAAAACGAATTTAATGTTGACTCATGTTTTCTGAACAAGAAAGGTTGAAACGTTGGAATTCTTCAAACTTCGGAGAGCTGTAACTTTCGAAAGAATAGAGAGCACTGATTTTCTTTTTCGGTTTCATGGTCTTCACACATCTAAAAAAAACTATTTATATAGTTTATTGTATGATTTTCACTGTAAACTGTATGATTAGTTTTTTAATATGGATTGTGGTATTTCAAGGTACTTCTAAAGTGTTCCATTTTGAATCAAAACATTTGGTTTGCAGTTTATGCTTGAGGAAACTATTCTATAGCGAAACACGTCGCAGTTTTTGTAAAACCCTTTATAGTGAAAATCATACGATAAACTGTATTGATAGTTTTTTGATATGGATTTTCATCAAGTATCGGCCAGTTCTATTCAATTCACATATCTAATTTTTTTTTCTAGCGAAACGGTAGTCCTTCCGAAATAATAAACAATATTGTTATTGCCAGATTAACGTAATTGAAACATAATAATGAAAATTCGAAAATTCATCAGTGAATCTGTTATTTTGTGATATTTCAAGTTACTTCTGAAGTGTTCCATTTCAAATAAAAATATTTGGTTTGCAGTTTAAGCTTGAGAAAGCTATTGTATGGATTTTCATCAAGTATCGGCGTGTTTTGGCATAACTGACAACTGACGTCATCCGATCGTCCCTGTAAAATATTTGTGAGAGTATTTTTCATTTCAGCCATTGAAATGAATGGAATGAGACAGCAAAACTACTATATATCCAATATAACACAATTAAGCGAACATGAACATCGTCGACGTCACAAGTTGGACGAAATTATTCTTGCAGGCACTACTTCAACTGCTCATAACTTTCTCATTTGTCGAAATTTCGTTTTATTATACTCAAATTTTCATAATTGATCTACACATATATATAGAAAAACTTCATTGTTTTAAAAAATATGATCGTCGAAGCGAATAAAACAAAAATGGATACAAAAATGTATACTTGTGTCAAAATTTTTAGCACAAGGCTTTTCAAGAGACATGAAAAAGTTTGGCAAATAAGCCAAAAGAAAACATGCTTCGAAAGAGGATGATGATGAAAAAAGTTGTACTTCATGTTTCGCAATATGTTCGATATTGAAGTGACTTCCCCTTTTGGAACAACCAACCGACGTTATTATTAGGCTTGTTCATCTTTGGCAAAACTTTTATAGAAATTCTATTTTGAATGAGTTTAATAATTTTTTCTCATTACTGCCAGTAGATTACCGAAGTAACATTATGATTATATTCTTTCTGTTGAACAAACCGCATTCTGATCCTTGATGAGAACATTTCTATCACCATCATCACTCGAATTGCCGATTGACTATGGAAATAATACATCAGGAAGTTTGCCTAAATTAAAAATATCAACATTCCAAGTATTGTACTTTGAATTATACATTTTTCTATGACTCAAATAACTTTCTTCGTCACCAATATAAACACTCTAATCTTCCTTCTCTGGAAAAATAACAATAATTCCAAAACAACTTCTACCACGCTATATCTCCATTACTTTCGTAGTAGAAGATGTTAATTAACATGACATGATCAAACCCCAGATATTCAATGTGCCTCCAAGTGTATGACTATTCCTTCGATATTCTCTTACTTTTCGTAAATCCACGATAATTCGTTGAAAAAATTCCTTTAATGATGGTTGTATATTTGGCTTTGAAAAAACTAGGTAGTAAGTTATTTGGTTTTTGTTTCCACTCCTGATCTCCTGAGAACTCTAACTCGGTAAGCGAAACTCGCGTTGAGAGAACGTAATTTTTTTTCTGATATTGGGGAGGTGTTTTCAATAGACTTAAGCATACATTTTTGAAGTTGACATCATTCGTCAATTTATCAATATCCTGCAGAAAAACTTGATATACGGCTACTCACAACCAGATGTTCCGTTGGTATTTACACTCTTTTTTCTCAGTGTCAGCATTGACTTTAAAAAAGCTGAGAATTTTTCTACCTGAAGAAAAACCAAGAAAATGCGATGTAAACTTTCAAAATGGTCCACTATATAATATGAAACCACCGTAATTGCAACCTTTTTTCATCACACGTCTTGCATTGATTCGTGAGGCTCCATGAATTCATTATGTCGCGCGATAGTGTCGATTTTGCGGTAATTCTTGAGATATTCATTTGAATTATATGAAGTGAGGAGAAATTGTAATGTGCATGAGAGTAAATGACTAACGTATTTAATATGACAGGGAATGATAAGAGAGGACATTGGCAGATCAAGATCTTCAGATGATGTGGTGCTGCAGGTTTTGGTTTTTTCGGGCTTTCCTGCAGCTGAAAAAGCAAATGCACCACTTGAATCAATCAAGTCGCCTCGGAGCGTCAACTGAATTTTGTCGTGGTTTCATAATTTCATAATTTATAGCATCAATTTCAATAATAAAAAAATATCGTATCAGTCCTGATGTATTTTAATATGCCACATTACGTGAGGCATTATATTAAAAGGGGTATAGTGAGCTATCCCTGTAAGATAGACATATGCCATCGCGGGTGTGCTACCTCGGAAGGATTAAGCAGTGATGAAAACTCTCCAGCTTCTCTCGGGTAACAACACCGCCCCGATTTCACATGAAACACATTCTCATATTTGAAACAGTTAAACAATAATGAGTTGTACACGCAAACATTCCTATGGACTCCTTCGATTAGTGAATAAGTTCAGTAGTTTATCTCTATTAGACGAACAGACAGACCAGAATACTAACGCGGCAAGTGGAGCTTATAAAATTCTGTGACAGATATTTCAGTTCATAACGACAAAACAGTAAGCTTCGCTAAATCATACTTGAAAATATTCAGTTTCGAAAAACCCCGTGAAGTAAATAACTGACTCTAGATTTGAATAATCAATTATGGTAACTGAACCGCTTCTTTCTTTACAGTTGTATTAACATCCACAATTTCCATAAAGTAGGAGACTGGTAGTAACTTTGTAATTTCCGTGCTGGTGGTCTAGGTAATATCAAGGTATTTACTCTGTAGATTTGTCTCCGACATGAATGTACAAGTTTCTTGAATTAGTTTAGCGAGTTTGAGAGTCGGGAATACCTTTTGTGCGAGTTGGTTTAAGTTTCGCATACAAGCGATATCGGAGGGTGGTTTGTTATTGTGAGTGAATTGTTATCCCTTGTTCGGGTCGCAGTTAACAACTGATTATACTTCCATAGACGTGAGCTTGTCATTTCCTAGCAAGGAGAAGATGAATGGAATGAAAAAGAATTGACACGTCGAACTAAATTGAGAAGAGAATAATTTGTTAGCGAAAAGAACATATAGAACAGGACAGCCAAACGAGTAGATGAATAGAAGAAAACATAAAAATGATCGAAGCATTGTGTAAGAATAATTTAAACAAAGTAGAAACCCTCAACGAAGAATCAACAGAATTGGAGACAAAAGCAGTCTGAAACAAGAATGTGTTCCGAGTTAACTATTTTTATTCTCAATTGTTGTAGATCATACTACCAGAAGTGGCCAACTGAAAGGCAATCGCTTATTGGTCGAGAACTGGATGATTGAAACAGTCACTGTAATAAAACTACTGTTCACAGGCGACGTGATATTAAAAGAAGACCCAGACGCCATGCTATAACAAAATATAACGTGAGAGGTGATATCCACGGAAAAAAGGAGACACAAGAAAAACTGAAAAAAATATTTTAACGTATTCAAATATATAACTACTTTGGAACCATTATTGATTGAAAATAAACGATAGATAAAGAAATGAAAGAGTGGATAGAAAACCCTGGTAGTCTATTCAACATATTATTGAGAACCATATTTTATGGCTTCATTTGGCTTCACTTCGATGTTGGTTTTTGAATAAAGATATCCTTTTTCTTTCCTGCGGAATTATCATTCAACTGATTACATTCCAAGGTTGCTTTGGCGAAGTCTCTTGAATACTTCTTTCAGTTTCGAAATATGCTCATCTATAATGTCTTTCATGTAGGCAAAACTTCACTCCCTCAGGATCCCTCTTATCCTTTGTTCTCTGAAACGTTAATGGAGCATTATCAAGGTAGTGCAAAGTAAGTGTGTAGGTCCTGACATCCTGCCGTAACTGCATAGGTGCCGAAGGTCATCCATGGGCATTTATCATTTCAGAATATCCCTAATCTATAGTCGTTAATCATGAAAATTATCGGATGAGGATACAATGAGAAAAATATCTACAGAAATGGGATTTCTTAAGAAAATTCAACGAAAAGAGTTGGGATGAGAAATGAAACATTGTGAGTCTCAAACCAGTAAATACAATTATAGAAAAACGGTAGTAGCTCAGCATAGTCTGTAGTGTTTCGAGGATCATCTTCTGTTTATTTAATCAAATTCCTATAATCACTTTCAGAAGCGGGTATTGTGTTATGTTATATGGTTATTGTCAACAGTACATGTCTATCGCACACTGAACACTGAGTCATGAGATGAGAGAAGAGAAAAGCATCTGTCCGACAAGA